GAACACTTATAAACATGTGACCTAGGATGAGTAGGTCACATGATAACGATTAAATCACCTCCATTAGGATATCAGTGGGCTGAGAATAACCCCTGCTTATGTATGGTTCAACACATGAACATGTAGACAGCACCTTCAACTGTGACACATACACACACAACAGACTTGCACAACGTGGGAACACACAGACACACACTCAGAAATGGTCCTAACATTCAGGTAAAACAGGTTAGCTGGTGGTGGGCCACATTCCACTCTTTCTGTGTCCTACCTGTAGGACACTTGCTTCCTGAAGGTCAGCTGGACAAACTCTGCCTCCATCTGGGACACTGACAGCTGCCCCCTCTCGCCCACATGTGTCCTCTTCACCTCCTTCTCTCTAGCTCCCTAAAGAAAATACAAACACATTTCAATGATATGTCTTTATGTGCAGTCTTCCAGTTCCAGAGCCAGAAGCCTAGTGTTTTGAATCGGGTCAGACGGGGACACGGTCCTCCTGTCAGCCTGCACACAGCTTCACAACAATATACTCTAAACAGATTCGTTATATCACCTACTAATTTACCACACTTAGAGAGATTGGACTATGCTAGCTGTAGGTATTAGGAAGTAGTCGGTGAACACTTCCACACACCCACCTGACAGATGCCGCCAGGCTGCAGCGGGCTCTCGGAGCTCCCCTCCGCCGCGAAGACGTCCTCCTCCTCCGCCACGTCCTCCAGCCCGGGCCGCTCCACAGCCGGAGGAGCGGAGTCCCTCATCATCCTGCACCCTGTCTTTAACCACTTCTAATGTAGGGGTATATTATCCTGTTAAACTTCCTGTTTTTTTTACAAGTTTCTCTTTCGGCGTGAAGCAGTCTGTGTTTGGCACGCGCGCTCTGTAGGAAGACCGGTTTAACGGCAGATAGATAACCGCACTGATAGCAAGGACCACACACTAGGTTAATGTCTATATGGCATGTAACAGCAGCTCACTGACATGAGGCAGGCAGCAGCAGCTCTCACGCGGGAAGAAAAGTTCTCCTGCTCGCTGTTCATGATGCTCTCTCTCTTTCCCTCTTTCCCTCTCTCTCTCTCGCTCTCTCTCTCTCTCTCTCTCTCTCCCTCGCGCGCGCACACACATTGTATATCGTGGTTGAGCAAACACTAACAGCGTGTGATCTGAAATAAAGATGGATATTATATTTAAAATACAAATATGAAGAATAAAAAAAAATAATAATAATAATAGGAATGATAAAATACAATGACATTTAATAAAATAAATGAAAATATAAAAATATTAAAATGATAATAATAATACAATGAAATAAAATATACTAATAATAATAATTAATAGTTTGTCCGTAATTATATGTGTACTGTCAGTACTAAGTGTGTACTTTGGCAGGTACTTGTCAGTTCTGTACTTAAGTGGGAAATTGAGGTATTTCAACATTATACTACTCTATACTTTTACTTCACTGCCATTAATTACCATGGCAGATGTTGATGTTTGGGCACTGATTTTGTAATATATGCTAATAGGAAACCAGTGTTTACACGTTGCCATGACAATCCCAAGTCCAAATGTGCCATTTCTAATTGTCAAGTAGTTTTCTTTAAGAAATTATAATAGATCTAATTATTAATTTCATGACTGTGAATGTGTTATATCATCCACTGGCTTCAATGCAAACACACGTGCACACTGACATGCACACATATTTTCTGTTTGTCCTATACAACATTCTCTCTTTTTACTGGTGATCATAAGAGCTGATATTCATTGGTAGAGTAGTCCCAGTTTTATTTTTAGGATGTGTATCTGGGTCAGGAAGGCTTTTGAGTTTAAAGGGTGTGGTGTGATGTCAGTCCAGCAGGAGGCAGCAGAACTTTAAGAGCAGGGATATCAAAGTTTAAAATACAAACTTTTAAAACATACTGTAGCTATTAATCAGAGGTGGGAGAAGTACTCAGATCTTGTACTTGAGTAAAAGTAGAAGTAACAGAGTGCAGGAATACTCAGCATTCAAAATGTTACTTAAGTAAAAGTAGAAAAGTATTGGCATCAAAATATACTTCAAGTACCAATAGTAAATCGAGTCATTGTGCAGATTGGTCCAGAATAATATATATGATATGTTTTATAATGATTGATCATCAAAGTGTTCTCAAAGCTGGTAAAGGTGCAGCTAGTTTGAATGACTTTGTATACTGCAGGGTAGCTTGCGAATTTACTCCAGGTGGAACTAAAGCCTGATTTAACACTTGATTATATTTACCATCATTTATCCACATCTGTAAAGTAATTAAAGGTACAAAATAAAGGTAATGGAGTAAAAGTCACCTCTGAATTTGAGTGGAGTAGAAGTATAAAGAAGCAAAAAATTGAAATACCCAAGTAAAGTCCAAGTACCTCAAAATTGTACTTAAGTAATTGATTAAATGTACTCAGTTACTTACGTCACTGCTATTAATGTAAAGCAACACACATCACAAATCCACAGTCCTTGTTCTCTGCAAGGACGGTATCTTTATGCTCATAATGATCATTTGTTGGTTTTGGAGGGAGGCCTGAGACTGTCAGTTATAGCACTTTTCAAATATCTTGCGAGCAATATCTTTGATTTGGCAACACTGCTGTTTTTTTCCAGGTTTTCTTCAGTTACACCTTTTGGAATTTGAACCACACCTGCTTATTCCAGTGTTACCTAACCAAGCTTCAAAGGGGAGTCTAAGAAATCTGAGTCTCAGATATTCCAAAAAAGTTTTCCTTCTCTTATTGTCCTTCCCACATGAAGTTGTTAGCTTTTTAATAGGAGTACATACATGTATCTGTGAATGAGCATGAGCAGGCTGTCAGCCAGAAGCAGCTTTACAGAGCTGTGGAAACACGGAGCACACAGCCATTGTCTGTGCCATTGATAAAAACACAGAATGCTGACTCTGCTTGACTGCAGTCCAACAATCTGTCTGCAGCAGCTCGTAACCCCAATCCCAGACACATCGCAAACCGGCCCGGCCCGGCCCGGTTGCTCTTGGCTGGGGGTGCATGGAGCGGCTAAGCCTCTGTGCTGCTGGCCAAAGCCCTGTGGGATTACACTAATGCAGGTGGCGGGAATCCACTGCTGGGGAAACAACGGGCATTGGAAGTGACATGACATTAGAGTTCACTCTGAGATACTAGCTGTGGCCTGTTGTTAGATGCATTAAGTGTTGTCCTCTACATTTAATATTTTTCTGTTCTAACTAGCTTTAGCTGAGTAGCACGCAGTAACAGCTGTTTAGGCTTTAGCTGTTGGTAAGCCACGCAACTATAGGACTGAGGTTGTCGTAAATATGTTGAAATATGGCAAAAACCCTCTGTCTGTCATTGAAGAATATCAAATCCACTGATTAATAAAGGTCCAGGAGCCGCTGCTCAAAGAGCAAGCTGAAAAAAGTGTCTGCACTGTAAGAAGGCTAGAAATGAAAGACTGTAACATTTACCCAGAGCCCAAAGAGGCATCTTGCCAATGTTTGGTTTGTACAACTAATAGTACATGTAGAATACTTAGAAGGAAAATCAGCTAATTCTGGCAGCCGCTAGCGTATTATGGGAGAACTTAGGGATGGCAAAGACCAGTCTGGGTACTGCTTTCTGAATAAGCTGCAGAGGTTGGATGGCCCTTGCTGATAGACCAGCCAGGAGGGAGTTGCAGAAGTCAGGGCGTGAGATGAAAAGAGCCTGGACCAGAACCTGTGTTGCATTCTGGGACAGAACGGGACGAATCCTTCCGATGTTGTAGAGAGTGTTTCTGCAGGAGCGGGGAGTAGCAGTGATGTTGGCAGTGAAGTACAGTTGGTTGTCCATAGTCACACAAAGATTACTTGAGGTCTGAGTCGAGGGGCTGATGTTGGTAGAAAGATCATTGTTAGGAGAGTCCTTCCCTGGGATGAAGAGTACCGTAGTTCTGTAATTGTAGATGGAGCTTCAGGTGGTGCGCAGACATCCACTGAGCGATGCAGAGATATGTGCGGTTATCAGTTGAGGTAGAAGAAGCCATGAGAGCGAATCACAGAGCAGAGTGAATTGGTGTACAAAGAAAAAAGAAGCGGACCTAGGACTGACCCCTGTGGGACCCCAGTCAGGAGATGACAAGGATCTGATAAAGACCCTCCGTAGATACCTTGTAGGTGTGGTTTTTGAGGAAAAATTAGCAGGGAGTGCAGAGCCTGATACTCCCAGTTTACACCTGTGCATGAAAATCAAGCTTTGGCTGGTCATCGTAGCATGCTCTTGTCGTCAACCGCACTCAGGGTTCCAGGGGTCTTTAGCAACTAGCTTATTGGTGCTAGCATGTTGTCTGTGTAGATGCTTTGAAGATTAGATGTCATGTCATTAGATGTTTCTGACCTGGGCACAGTTTTCACTTCACCATCACATTTTTGTCCTATTGCAAAACTTATTAAAAATAGTATGCATATCTCCAACACTCAAAATACATCTTATGTGGCTCTGGCATTTTTGATGTGTCCCTCCAGGAAATTGTGCCCCAAAGTTACGTCCCGTTTTTTAGATATGGGTAATGAGTACATTATTATCTCCATTGACCATATCCAAGCAGCATTTTGTCTCTATTGAACCATACAGTGTTATGTCAATAGATGTGTGTGTCTGTCTGCTTGATGCTCCATCACTCAGGTGTAATCCTCCCGACCCCTCTGCCCAGAAGGGTTTGTTTTGGCAGCCCTGGGTGTCTGGTGTGTGGAAGGGCACTGGGTTGCACCAGAGTCTGGACCCAGCAATGCCCCCCCTCCCCAATTCTGCTGACGGGGCATGAGATAATGCCATTCCAGAGGGATCGTGGGTAAAGCCTCTCTTTCTGGCTCTCAGGTATATAAACCGCTGTAGAGCTGCACTGTGAATCATACTGCTTCTCCTCCACACTCTGTTCTCGCCATCTCACCTCCCCTCCTCCACCTGCTGGATTCTGAACAGGAACATCTGAGCTACACCCAGCTGTGTGATTCAATATGGACATTTCCATCCAGCACCCCTGGTTCAGACGGGCCATGGGCTCCGTCTACCCCGCAAGACTCTTTGACCAGTTCTTCGGAGAGGGCATGTTTGACTACGACTTCTTCCCCTACACCACCTCCAGCATCAGCCCCTACTACAGACAGTCCCTGTTCCGAAGCTTCTTGGATTCCTCAAACTCCGGCACCTCTGAGGTAACTCCTTCCTGTCTCGTCCTCTCGGATACATGTAGAGACTAACTTAGTTGATCTCAGAGGGTCTCAGGAGAACAGATACAGAGAAGAATTAAATTAATCCACTCACGAACAAGAAAGTTATGATAATGATATCGTCTTTAAACTAAGTTTTACACTTAGTTCTTTCATAAAAAGTAAGATGCTTAGTTTAATAGAATTTACCAGTACACAACTTGTCTCAGTGGGCTCTGCAGATGAAAGCACGCTCTTAAAAATCCATTTATACTTAAACAACGTTCTGAAGTCTGTGTATTGTGCCCCCCCAGGTGAGGTCTGACAGGGATAAGTACACTTTGTACCTGGATGTCAAACACTTCTCTCCTGAAGAGATCAGTGTGAAGGTGACCGGGGACTACGTGGAGATCCAGGGCAAGCATGGAGAGAGACAGGTGGGTCTTCAACATCATATTTCTCAGAGGGGGGTGCGTAGTAGAAACAGTATGTGCGTTATATATATATGTATAAGTGATATTACAACAGATGTGTTATAGTGTTATGTAAGATAGAAATGTATTTGTTTGAGTGAACCTCAATAATGATTCTGTTTTACAGGATGACCACGGTTACATCTCTCGTGAGTTCCACCGCCGCTACCGCCTCCCCTCCAGTGTGGACCAATCAGCAATCAGCTGTAGCCTGTCAGCTGACGGGCTGCTGACCCTGAGCGGGCCAAAGGTTAACGGGGGGAGCGAATCCGGCCGCAGCGAGCGCAGCATCCCTGTCACCCGCGACGAGAAGACCAACTCTGCTGTGTCCTCTTAGATGACGAGTAGGGGGGGCCATACCCTGCATCCACAGAACCCCCTCTCTTCTTCTGCCCCCCCTCCCTCAGAGGATACCTGTCGCTTCACTCTCTCCTCTGTTGACTCTTCTTGGCGCTTTCGCCCAGTATATTTAGTATTATCGTTTAGAGCTTTACAAAAACCTCCCCATAAGGGTGCTTATGTGCTGGGGGGGCTAGAGTTGTGGGGAGGGGGGTACATGTCGCACATCTGGTCCCAGAGTTTGCATCAGTAAGCCCTGGCTGTTCCCTTCTTGTGCTGACTGTTAGAACCCCCCCCTCTTTTGTCTTAAATATATCCTGTACTGTAGTCTTGCATTGTTTAATGGATACCTGCTCATTACTGAGAAGTCCATACTAAAGAAACATTCAATAAAGCTGTATACTTCACAAAGGTAACCTGTGTGGCTGTATTCTTCATGTTAACAGCTCCATCAATAACTAGGTTATTAGTGTCTGTGAGTGTTTCAAAGGCTTTGAAGCTGCGTCTGCTAAACTCCCTCACCAGGTCTGTGGACTCTATGGAAACTGCCTTTACTCTTACATCGTGTCAATGTGTTTGGGTGTTACATTCATTTACCTTAAGTTAGAAGCTGTTGTAATGAAAAGAGAGACAGTACTCTGAAAGTGTGAACCTTTAATGTCTCAACATTAACAAACATTTACACAACGGGTAAAAACTAACAAGACACAATAATGAACAAAACAGAAAGATTAACGAGAACAGTGCAAGTAAAAAGGTGTTACTGTTTAGAAAATATAATGTTCCTTTTACTTCAATAATGATTATACAATGAAAACCTGAATTTGCACAGACAGACAGATATAGTGTGAGACGAAGGGCAGTCAGACAGCAGGAGGATTGAAGATACTGCTCTGCTTACCTCCCCGACTCTGGAAACACACACACTCTTCAGTTCATCATGTCCACATTTAAAATAAGCCATTTCTACTATCGTAACATGATGTAAACCCCCCACACACGTGTTGAATGTGCTGTGCAGTGAGTGGCACCTGTTGGAGGGTCTGCAGGTCCTCCAGGGTCTGCTGGGCGGCCAGTCTGAGGCCCGGCTGCAGGCTGCAGGCTGGAGGTCAGCCGGCTCACAGCCGCCTGCAGCCGGGGGTCCAGCAGGGGGGGGCCCAGAAGGAGAAGCACTTCCTCCTCCAGCAGCACCGACTGCAGGAGCCGCACCGAGTGGAGGCACACCTCCCAGTCTCCGTCTGTCACACACACATCAGAGGCTGCATTTGTACAACTGCATGCTTTATTAAAGGCTTATTCATACGTAACATTTTTACTTTAAATGTTGTGCAGATGACCACACCTGAAACATGTGCTCTTCTTAAATTGTACTTCTTAAATATATGTGTAAATATATATAACCCAGTAGTATTCATGTGTTAATATTTTAAGACCACTTTTTAAATAAATTCAGCCAATTCAAGTTGAAAACATTTTCTAACAAATCTTAGATGATAAAAAAAGTCACGTATTTACATAACAAGCTAGAAATACACCCTTCATATTTCCCCTTATTATAAGCAATCTAAGGCTTTTGTTTTAAGGAATGAGCTGCAACACTTCATGTAACAGTAGCAAATGACACCCTATGGAGAGCTGGGATGGAGACTGTTTTTTTTCTTAGCGCATTGTTGGAGTCGGGAGGCCTGTTCATTTATTCCGGCAATTACTCAGACCTACTAATTGACCTAACAGAGGCTATTGAGTCTATGTAAGTTTACTACCAGACTTGGATCCACCTGGATCAGCAAGATCTCACCTCTATTAACTCCTGAAGAACCGGGTTCAATTAACTGCTGTTTCAATTCAGACGACACGCTAAATCCGTTTAAGCGATCCCGAAGGATTTGGGTATCAGTAATGATGTGTGGCCCTAACTAAGGGTGAGTGTGGCGGATGTGCAATCTTACCTTTAAGCAGGAGAGGAGAGCGCAAATTTATTTTAAGTTGTCCCAATCCAAAAAGGTGGGATGATTTTATTTGAAGCAAATGGTCTACACTTTTACAGGGTTTTTACCTTCTCTCGTTACAATCATACCAAACATATCATGCTGTGGTCCTTTTCTAATATAAAACCTCATTTCAGTTTTACATTTCTTATATTCAATTCTAACTTCAACTGGAATATATTTGATTATATTTGATTATCATTGATTATATATTATCGTTTGAATTATTCAACTTAATATGGAGACCTCAACAGCATACATGATTGATTTTGCTAACTTATAACTTACACTATATCTGTATTGGGCCCTCAGTGAAAACAGTTCGGACACCCCTGGACTACAACATAAGGTTTCTGTGTCTGTGTGTCTGTGTGTCTGTGTGTCTGTGTGTGTGTGTGTGTGTGTGTGTGTGTGTGTGTGTGTGTGTGTGTGTGTGTGTGTGTGTGTGTGTGTGTGTGTGTGTGTGTGTGTGTGTGTGTGTGTGTGTGTGTGTGTCTGTGTGTGTGTGTGTGTGTATGTGTGTCTGTGTGTATGTGTGTCTGTGTGTATGTGTGGTATGTGTGTGTGTGTGTATGTGTGTGTGTGTGTGTGTGTGTGTCTGTGTGTATGTGTGTGTATGTGTATGTGTGTGTGTGTGTGTGTGTGTGTGTGTGTGTGTGTGTGTGTGTGTGTGTGTGTGTGTGTGTGTGTGTGTGTGTGTGTGTGTGTGTGTGTGTGTGTGTGTGTGTGTGTGTGTGTGTGTGTGTGTGTGTTGCACTCTGTAGCAGTTCTCCTCACCGTCCAGCAGGGCGCAGATGAGCGGCAGGAGTCCAGAGTTCTCACTGATGCACTTCAGTCCCCTCATACTGATGCTGACATTATACAGCGCCATCAGCATCAGCCTGTAGACACAGAGACACACACACAGTGTGAGCAGCGCAGCACAGCACTGACACCTACTGCTGCACACATCACACACCAACATGCTGTACAAACACATTTTTAACACTGAATTTTAAAATGTTAAATGTTTTGAGTTAAAATGAGTAGTAATAATATAGTTGTACGGATAAATGTGCTGGTAATTATATGTTATATATCTGTACACAGATCTGTTATAATAATTATTATAATATAATTTTTAGTGTGATAGACACTAAGTCATGTTTAGGTCGTGTTATGATTGTTATGTGTATACTTGCTCAGGGACCGCAGAAGGAAATGATCTTTTAGCTCAAATATGCCATATTTTATATTTTATCTTTCTTTAGATGAACGTATTTTTAAGCATGTTCAATAAGGCATACTAATATACATTCCATTTTTGGGGTGCTCACTGACCCCAAGCAGCAATAGTCATATAATATTAACATGACAAATTCAGAAGTCTTTTTTATGATGATCTCTGGATCAGATCAGATGCAACTTAAAGTGGACCAATCATGCTATAGGCCTATTGGAAAAATATATTGTATGGCCACCTATACAAAACATGTCTGTGAAGTGTTTTGCTTAAAATCCCAAACAGATCACCCATTGTAGCCATGCCTCATACTGCTCAAACCCCTCTATTGCAGCCCTATTAGAGAAATGCAGATTTTGGGTCCTTAGCTTGAAAAAATTGTATAAAGAGGAGGCGGAGCTAATGCCTGATCAGAGTTCTACCGGAGATAAAGTTAAATTCTGCTGTGATAAAACGCCATCCTGTTCTAAACCACATCAAGGATTATTCCTGAAACAGTATGGCGCTCAAATGCTTTTTTCTTGCAGGTTTATCACAAGGTGAGTTCCTTTTTTTATTTCCTGCTTTTTAAACACATGTGCTCTCCAGTACAGGTTAGCCCTGAGTGTTAGCGAGGCTTGCTAATGTAAACAAAGACATCCAAAACATGTCAGGCATTGTTTCTGATAGCAACTTTCGACTGTTTTTTTTCTTAGCGCATTGTTGGAGTCGGGAGGCCTGTTCATTTATTCCGGCAATTACT